ATCACATATCTCTCTCTTGTACCATTATCTCTAGTATTTTTTGAAAGTATAGAATGCCATTATATTAAATTCCAATATTTAAAATCTTATAAAATACTTGAAATAAATTTAAAAGGCTTACAAATTATTTTATGACAGCTAACCCAACTATGTGTAATTAACAAGACATGTAAGTATGTGTTTGGTTCTATTAGCATTTATTGAAAAAATGCTGCCACATCAGTGCGACATAGGCATTGGCGTTTATTGCATATGAAGCAAAAATGAAACAACTGTTTGGTTTCATCGTTTATCAAATAAACGATAAAAAAAAAACTAAAACACTTTGATTTTTGTGCACAAGGCATTTGGAGAAATGCCAAATTCTTGTTTCCCCCAATGCATAAATGTTTCTTAAAACCAAATGCTAATGTGTCATAGTTTAATAGATATTAATTTGAGGTGGAGAATAAACAATGTTTAAAGTGAAGCTCAACCAAACAACAAAACAATAAGCGTTTAAAGTGAAAAGCACAAATAAACGACCACCCATAAACGTAAATAAAACCAAATACCCTATAAATTAGTTTAGTGGGAGGCACTTGACTTGTTCACGGACTGGGCTTTGGTCATGACTTTACACTATATCATGTTTAGGTTTCAGGCATGGCCCATTTAAATTTTGGCACAAGCCAAGCTTGAGTGTAACCCATGAATAGGTCTAAAAGGGCAAATCAAACTTAACATTTATGATTGTGCTAAATGTTAACTAGGACCAACTTTTATAGTAGGAGTTTTTCATAATCCTTTGGGTAGATGAATGGACGAATACTCAATTCTGATTAGGAATACTACCAATGATGTTGTTTGACTATGAGCAATTGGTTAAGGCATTAAACAAACAGTGGTTACAAGAAATTTATCATCGAATAAAACTCTTTACCTACTCTCACCTTTCTATGACTCAAGAAATACCTAAATGGAGAGTGGATATTATTCTGTTATAATACTTTGGCTCTCTTGGGTGAATGTTAAACATTTCAACTCAATAATTGTTATCGAGAAGCCGATAAGCGTGCAAACAAACTAGTGAACTTAGCTTTCTCCACATATCAAAGACTTATCCACTTCTTGCATCCCTAAATGAAGTAATGAAAATTGTATGGGAGATATTTCTAGTGTTTGTTTTAGACAAAGGTATTGTAGTTTGTAAGATTTTTTTCTATCATTAATACCACAAAAAAAAGCTACAACATAAACTTTGGCCAATCTTTATGCTTTGAGCGTACTTGTTGAACATAAAAACGAAGTTAGCATCATTGCCCCTTTTCTTAAAATCTAAACTAGTGGTTATATATTTTACCATAAGAGCCATTATTGGTTTCTTATCTCGAAACATTCTTGGGTATATTACATTGTTGCATAGTTGCTCTACTTCTTTGAAGTGTTTTAGGTTTTTGTTGCTGTGTATAATCAAATTTCATCATATAGTTGCTTTAATTTGATGGAAGATAATAAATAAACAATTTACAAAGTCTCTAAAAGAGTTTTATATGTAAAAGAGTCCCATGTATAATAGGTTCCTGATTTTTGGACCAATTACCATATACATTATGATTGGTTCCTTAGTTATCATGTTTTGAATTGTTGAGAGGAAGGATGATGCGGCCTAATAGGAGAAGCTAAGAGCTTTGATGACTTGGCTTAATGGGAGTGATGAGAATGGGTAATGGATAGTATAAATACTTACATACAAATGTGCATAGCATATAAAGATGAAATCAAATTTGTTAGCTCCTCACAAAGTCAGTCCTCACGCCCACATCACAACCCTTGTAGTTGTGCACCGGAAATATCTCCCCATGAATCAAATTATACAAGTATAAAGATGTTCCCAATGTATAGCTTTAAAAGCTGTGAGGTGTGTGTAAATAATGATTTTGTGATGAGCGAAATCGAACTCCATATAAGCACGAATAGCATATGCTCTTAGACATTTTTCTGAAAAGCCAATAAGCAATATCATTGCAATTGATCATCATCCAATACAGATTTAAGAGAACCGAATGGGGAAGAACATGTAACAATCATGGAGCTATTACATCCAAATGTTGAAATCATCTGAGCAACTCAATTGCCACAACAAGGAACAAGAGAGATTATAAAGAGAAGTAGGTACAACTAGGGTTTGTATATGATTGTCTTGATATTGGATTTTTGCAAGAATCAACTCATTTATCTGTGAATGATCACCATTAACCACTTTTATAGGATTAGATTGAAGGGTGATTTTTCCATGACCTTTTCAACACTTAGCTTTCCAACAATGCCAAAGTATGACTGAGAATTTCCTAAAGGAATTGACATCAATCTCAAATGTATTTCGGCTATTATACCACCAATAAGACAACCAATCCTCTATAGTACTCCAATTCGGATGATCAAGTGTACGAACAACGAGGTACGGCCCATACCAAATGGCACACATTGCACGACAATGCAAAAGAACATGATTTCAATCTTCAATAGTTTTTGAGCATATTTTAGAGGTATGATCAATCATGAGACTAACCTTTTCCAGTGCCACTTTGATAGGGAGGGCATGGTTCAAACATTTCCAAATAAAAACACAAGATTCTTGGTGGGAGCTCCTTTAGGTGCCAGAACCTTTTCCAAGTAAGGTTAAGTATAGCTGGCTAGATAGGTGGTTGGAAGAGGATTCATCCTTTTGGCTTTGTAATAGGTGGCAAATAAATGGGAGTGAACATCTAGTAGATTCTATCCTAATGCTAATGAGGGTTGGAGGGAATTTTAATTTTAAGAATTTGGTGTATAATCAATATCAAAAGTGTTGTAAATGATATCATAATCCTAATATGCTAGATCAAATTTATGAGATGAGCAACCTTAGTATAGTTTAGGTTGGAGTGTTGCACTAGTAGAGAGAGAGAGAGCGAGAGAGTGAGAGAGAGAAAGAAAGTGATCTCTATAAATATTGGTCTCCTTCCCTTAAGAAGTTTCTCTTTGGTTTCTCTCAGGCATCTCCAAATGTAAAAGAATTAGAAGCCTTTTTACCCACATTTGGAAAAGATGAAGCAATGCCTAAGTATTTGAGGGTTAGAAGTTGCACCTATAAACTTCCTTTATCAGTTAAAACCCTCTAGGCTAATTTCATTAATAAAATATTGTTTCTTTCAGTAAAGTCATTGAACCCCAAACTACCTCGAGCTTTACATTTCACAAGGTTGTTCCATTCCTTTGGCTATGTTTGGTTTGAAGGAAAATGTAGGGAAAGGTAGGGAAACCTTTACAAACTAAGGCTACGACTTGGGTCGAGTTGGCTCAAACCCAATCCTAACCTAACCCGAAAAAGTTGGGTTGGGTTGGGTCAAATTGATGTTCAAGTTAGGGTTAGGGTTGAAATTCATGAAGCCGACTTTATTTTGAGTTGGGTTAGGGTTGACCCCTTAGCCAATCCAACCCAAACCCGACTCTATAGTACATGTCATATATAAATATATGTTATATGTAATATATAACATACATTGATTTGTTTAGATGCATGATATTTGTATAGCCCCCACCACATAGTATCATGTATTTCTTTTAAGATAGTCACTTCACTTAATCCTAATCAGAAGGACTAACACCTTAATAACATTATTTTGTGTTTTTTGAAAATTTTATTCTTCATCTCCTCTATGTTGTTTATCGCCCAAGAAAGATCTACCGTAAGTCATAACTCATAATAAACTATAGTAATTTATACCACATGTTTTTTTCTAAATTTTGTACTAAAAGAGCAAAATAATAACGTCAACAAACAAATATTAATGAAACATAGGATTAATATATATATAGTGAAAGTTGAGTTAAGATTTAACATCGAGAAATTCTATGAGGTTTTAAAGGATGGGAAGATGGTTGGGTTGGACCTAACCCGAAGCTCGGGTTGAAGGAATTTAGTTAGGGTTAGGGTTGGGGTTTAAAACATAGGGTTGGCCTCATCCTGACCTAACCCGACCCGATTTACAGCCTTATTACAGACCTTGTATATATTCTCCTGTATTTCCTTTCATTTCCCTACCTTTTCCTTCAAACCAAACATAGCCTTAAAGTACGGCGCTGTCATGAGAGTAACCTCGCCAAAAATCCTGAGGTATAAAATTTATCTTCTAACAAGTTGAAAATGGAAAATTTTGAATGGCAAAACAATACGAGGGAATGGTAGTAGTGTGGATTTCATAAGAATCTTACTAGATTCATTACTTGACCAGAACATTTACCAAACTCCACCTGCCAAATATTAACATCAAATGATTTAACTCAGGACAACTCCACCTGCCATTCCTGTATCTAGATTGTTAATTGATAACATTCCAAAATAATAACATTTTATTTTTTTCTATTATATTAAAATAATCTAAATTAAACCAGAGTATTCTACAATTTCGCCAAAACAATCTTGGGTCTAAAAGCATGCTTAAAAGTTAAAACTTCATCGGTCTGACTCGCGAGTCATAAGAACATGACTCAGAGAACTCATTAACTCTTGAGACAAAAAAAAAAAAAAACCGAAGTAACGAACTCGAACTACCCTTTCGTTGCGAACAAACAAAAATAAAATTCCCACCTTCCCCATCGCCCGCTCGCCGCGTGCACGGTGCACCCTCATCAGTTACTTCTGTCCACGAAATTTGTCCACGAAATTTTCTGTGGGTGTTATGCGCACTCGGCGTACGTCAAGATTCCGCGCATTAAACCAAAACCCAAAATCCCTTTTCTACGAACCCGCTAACATTTAAAATGTCTTTCATTACGCGCTCGTTTCTAATGTCCACGTGGTCGATTCGCATTAGTCCACATCATACACTTAAAAGCTACCGTACAATCAACTGTGTCGTAACTTTTCAGTTCTCAATCTGATCCGTCCATTCTGTAGACATTGACGTTCAGATCAGATACACTGTCGGCGTATAAATCTGGTATTCCTATACGTCACCGATTACCGGAATCCTCTCTCTCTCTCTCTCTCTCTCTCCTTCTCTTCTTCTGTGGGAAATGAAAAAGTAAAAACCCTATTATAGGTGGGCGTTGCTTCCGTTTCTGTGTCTCGAGTCGAGCTTGGAATTGAGCTTTCATGGCGACGGCGGCAGGAGGGTACGAAGGAGGAGCAGGTGGGAAATTCCGGAAGAAGCCGTTTCGGAGAGTCGCGTCGACGCCTTACGATAGGCCGGCGAGCGCTGTCCGGAACCCCATAGACGCGGGGAGAAGAGGGTGGCTGTCGAAGCTTGTCGATCCAGCTTCGAGGATTATCACGAAAAGTGCGCAGTTATTCTTCTCGTCCGTGTTCCGCAAGGGTCTTCCTGCTCCGCTGCCCGTTTCTGGTTCGATTCGTCCTGCATTTCTTTGATCACTTGCTTGTTCTCGTTTGTTTCTGATGTTTCTGCACGACTCAGTGGTTTGGTGCTTGTCGTGTGGGAGTGTTGGGGGTTTTCTAGTTTTAGGGTTTTGGAGTTTTCTCTAGGGTTTGGGCGATTGGGAATGGGAAATTGGGCAAAATTCGTCATTTTGATGTTTTGTTAGTGGCTTAGTGGATATGATAAATAGCCAGTTAGAGAAAGACGCCATTTTTCTATTGTCCCTGAGATTGATTGGAGACTAATGAAATAAAGTTGGAGTCTGAAATTGAACTTCTGTTTTTGTAGTCTGAAACTCTGAACCCGGAGAAATTTTCGAGTAAAAAGTAATGCGGGATTTGATTTGAAAGGGATAAAAGGCTTTAAAGTTCAAGCCGATTTAAATTTACTGTCGTATACTTGTATTATTTGTATTTCACAAGGAGAGCTTTAAGTTTTCAAATTTTTTTTTTCTTCCCTAGTTATTTGGTTTTGTTGTTGAGCTTTTGTTCTCTAAATTGAAATAAGACACATTTATATTTTAAGTAATTATTTTGACAATTCAAACTTGTTTTTAATATACTATAAATTGGAATTCTTCTGGTTTGAATTATTATTGGTTACTATCTTAATTGCATTATGTCTTTCATATGGTTGAGTTAGTTTTCTTCTCAGGGTTAACTTCATTGCTCTTCAATTTTAGTGGGAAGTATGGTTTTACATTGTTCTAATGTTGTTTTATACAAATTATCATGTGAACAGAGGCAAACCAGGAATTGAGGCATGAGACTCCTGAAATTGTAAGCAGAATGCTTCTTCTAATTATGGTTATTTAGCAATCACTATAATTTGGGCCGTTATGAGATCTTTGCTAAATTGGCTATAGTTCCGTCGAGGTTTAACATGTGCTTAATTTCTTTTGTCAAAAGAATTTGTTTTGTATTAGATGTGCTTCTGCTTGTCATAGTACATTCAACATCTTATCTTGATGTACCTTTCCCTGTACTGAATCCTAATTTGATTAGTATTGCGTGCAGAGTCAGGCTTTATTTTTGATTTGTGATTATTTTAAATAACATCATTTTATATAAACTTGAGACATTTTAAATGTGGATATTGCAAATTATGTCATCTGGACAGGGTCAGCTTTTCTGGCATATGGGTTTGATTCACTGTTTGCATGACACTTGAGACCATAGTCATGTACTCATGTGGTTCTGTCTTACAAGGATTAATTTGATCAAGTACCTTTCTCTCTTATGATTCTTTCTTTTGAGTGGTGAAAAATTTTTAGGTCAGACCTATTTAACATTAAGTCTCTGTACATGGGTGTGTGCAGGGATATAATGTGTTAAGCTATTTTTGGTTAAAATTTTGCTCCAAAGATCACTATTTGAAGACTTAGTTTTGAGCTAAAAATGATTCTGTTTTGAAGCTAAATTTTTATCTCCAAAGAGTCAATTCTTAGAATGAATTTTGAGCCCAAAAGGGAATTCTTTTCAGCAATTTTCCTACATCCAGACTTAAAAGATGATTCTTTGAATCACAAAATTCATCATAATTAATTCTCTGAAGGCATGCCAAATGCAGTCTACTAGCCACTTTTGTTTTGTTTTCCTTTTCTGATTTCCCCCTTAAAGATGAGTGTTGTCCTTGAGGATTTGTACAACAGGGTGAAATGGATCATTAACACAAATTGATAAAAAAAATGGATTGTTGACACAATCCTTTTATCCTCCTAGTGGTATTCAGTAAGGAAATCCGCCTTCTTCATTGTTGTGTGTACTAACAAGTAAGGTCTTGAGTTGCAAGATTTCCAAGGAAGTTGAGCTTGGCATGCTAGATGGTTTCAAAGTGGGAGTCGAGGGCCTGATGATTTGTCATCTTTAATATGTAGATGATAGTGACAATTTGGTGCTTCTCAATGCTTTGTGGGCTAGGCTATTAACCTTACAGCAATTCTAAAAAATTTTGAGGTGGTGCGTGTTTTTGAATTTAGTCTCTCTCTAATTGTAAGGGTTGAAAATGTAAGTTGAACTATTACTTTCATGTCATTTAATTCTCTCTCATTTAGTCCTTGTATTCAAGGTATTAACTCTCATTCTCTCTCATTAAACCCTATAATTAAGGTGTTTTTCTCACTAGTAAATTTTACAAATAAGAAATATCCAATAATTTTAACAATATAAAACCCATGTTTTTTAAATCCCACCTAAAAACAAAATCGTTCTTTTGTCTAGGTGGTGGGTAAGCAATTCAACCATTTGAGTCAAATGAGTTAACCCATGATGTCATAGTTAAATGACAAAATTTTTAAAATACAATAAATACAAAAAATAAAAAAAAAAGAAAAAGTGATATTTTATAATCATACTAAAGAAGAATATAATGTGATATTTTATATTAATCATATTAAAAAGGAGTAAAAACAAGTGTTGTTTATTTATGATGGAAATGGATATAAAATTTAACTGACTAAAAAATCGTTTTCCCATTTGGTGGCTGGTCAGCATTTCTTTCTTTTTCTTTTCATGAATATGTTGATTTTCTATACTTTAACATGAAGTTTATACTTTTCTTATGAAAATTATGGATAATTATTAAGGAAATATGGTTATGGAACCTAGGGAACTACCCTAGGATAGATGCTTGTTACATAAAAAATCCATTGCCTAGGTGACTAGGCAAGAAGGCGCCCCCCTGTTGCCTAGCCTTGCCTTGGCGCCATGAAAACTATGACAACCATGTACTAGGCAAAACCTTATTCTTCTTCATCAATTTGCCCATATGCAAATCCCATTACTTCTTTCTTTCATATGCCTTGGTCCAATTCACCAAGTGATCCTTCTAGTAGTCTCCATGTTCCCATAAAAAGTCCATCTTGATGTTTCTCTAATTCATTTTTCAATTGGCATTGGGATTATGAACACTGAAAGGAAGTAAATTGAAAGGTTGGCTAAGGTAGACCTAATCAAAGTTATTCTCCCTCCAAAGGAAATATAATTTACCTTTCAACAGACTAGTTTTTTCATTGAATCCTTTCACAATTGGATTCTAGAATGCCGTAGATCTGTGGTTTTCTCTGAAAGACAATCCTAAATATTTCATAGACCATTCTACATTCTGGCATCCTAATATGCAAGCATAAGCTTCAAACTCATCCCTCCCCATATTGACACTAGCTATGCATCTTTTATCAAAGTTGAGTCTCAAATTAGAAGTCTTCTCAAAAAGCATTATCAAGTGCTGCATATTTCTTGCCCCTTCCTCTCCAATATCCTCACAAAATTACGTGATGTTGTGATGTCATCGGTAAATTGTAAATGGTTCACTATAATCTCACTTTTCCAACCTTCCATCCCCTAATCAAACCCTGTTGTTTGCCCTAGTAGGGGAAAGAGGATCTCCTTCTTTTTAACCTCTTTTTGTTGTAAAGAAGTCTTCAACCACACCATTGAGTAAAATTGGATAATGCACTGATTTTAAACACATTTCTATCCAGATTCTCCAACTATTCCTGAAGCCACATCTTCATAAACCTCCTCAAGGAAAGACTGATCTGCAGGATAGTATATATGCCTTCTCTAGTCCAATTTGCATACCATCCTTTTTAGTTCTTTCACACATTGATTTCCTATATCATGGGTTGTACTTACTACTTATAATGCTTAGAATTTGAACAATGCCTCTATGGAATTTTTTTGATAAGCAACATTACCCTGAGAATTTATTAATGGGGAAACAGGTTGTGCCATAGCAACAACAATAGCTGCAAAATATACAATCCAGCAGTGCTGACCTGACTCCAAATTCATTAAAAACATTTTGCAATTTGATCTTGCCTAGGGTGACTCTCAACATAGTTGATCTTTTGAAATTGCTTCCTTGGAAGTGAGTCTGCCAGACTTTTAGCAGCTGTGGGTGTCTACCTGAATAAGCAGTTCATAATAGCAGTCAAAACTGTAGTCTCTCTAACCAAGAGTCTGAAGGTCCAGCATACTTTATCTCGGTCCAAGTTTGCAATTTGATTTGGTTAAACTGGATTTGGATCTCAAAAATCAGATAATTGGATCAAATCTGGATTCAACTCATTCATACCTGATCAAGACCCATATATGATAAAATTAGTATCTATGTGCATATGTTCTTTACAAAAATAACGTATGTTTATAATAAAGTTGATTTAAATATCATATTTTCACTAAATACTAATAAATTCAAGTTTTATGGAATTTATTTTTAATTCGTTTTGTTAATGAATGTAATCTTTTGGCCATTTTTTATTTTTAACTTACCGATAATATATAATACCTGATTATTTGAGTCCAAGCTTAAAATTTTATCCAATTAAACCAGATTTGGATCTCCAAAACCATATCCATTTATAATTGTATTAAATTGGGGTCCACCCAATGAAATCTGATTAAGATCTGAGTCCAATAATATTAATATGTATGTGCATATGTCTATATAGAACTTACATGTATTTATTAAAAAATGGTTTAACTATCATATTTTCACTAGAGTCTCATAAGTTCAAGCTTATGGAAGTTATTTTTAATTTGTTTTATTAATAATATGTTGGTCATTTTAGCTAGCATACTAATAATATATAATATCTGAATCCAATCTGAGTTCTATCAAAATATGGTGGAAAATATTCGATTTGAAGTTGAATATTAGTAGGATCAAATTCAAATATATGTAGATCTAGAGGCTTACAACATTTATACTTTCATTTGTGTTGTGGAAGGCTAGAAGCCCTTAGTAGGTTTATAGATCAGGCTGTGCAGGGAGGCTTCATAAGGGGCTTTAGTTTACAGGCGATGCTTTATTCTTCCATGAACCATCCATCAGCTAACTCATTTGAAGTACTTGCTCATGAAGTTTGAAACTGCCTTGGGCCTGAAAGTTATATTGCAGAAGATTGAAACTCTAGCTGTTGGAGAGATCAGAAAATATAGAGTTTAGATTCTAGCTGACTCATTGGGATGTAGCATTTGGCAAGTTGTCCTCCAAATACCTACATCTTCCCCTTGGAGCTAGATGAACCTCAAGGGGAACCTGCTACTAGAATGCTTTGATAAAAGACTGGCTTCTTGGAAAACAAGGTACTTGTCTTAAGGAAGTAAGTTGATTTTCATTAAGAATGTGCATGTGTCCCTGCCCAAATGCTATCTTTCCATATTTCCCATTCCTGATGCAAGTAGATGTTGGAGAAGAAAATGTAGTATTTCCTTTGGAACTAATTGGAGGAAGGTATGGAGTCCCAAACAGGCTGGTGGAGTGGTGGGCTGTGGGTGAAAAATTTTGGAACCTTTAATAAAGCCCTATTAAGAAAATGGTTTTGGAGATATAATGAGCAGAAGAACAGTTTATGGAGGTGGTGGGTGGTTGTGTCTGAATTTGGGACAAGAAACTGTGAATGGGATTTGGGAAGGTAGGGGTGCAAATGTATTGGATTATGATCCGATCCAATACGACTTTGATCCTAGTTTTGTCGGATTCGGATAATCCTTGGTCGAATTTTCATATCGGATCGGATTGGATTCGGGTCACACCCTTATCCGATTTGAAAGGATCCAATCCGATTCAACCTATATATGTATATATTTATAAACATATTTAGTTATAAAAAGACATGTATGTATTAATATATTTATTTAGAAATATGTTTATATTGCATTTTTGTAAATTTTTTCAAGACATGTATTTATTAATATATATGATGAAAATAGTTGAAAAAATACTTATATTTTTTGTTTTTCTTCATATAAACTTACATGTTTTTTTTTTCTTTTAATAATTTATTAAATTTTCCATATTTCAAACCGGATCTGATCATATTTGGATATTTGACATCCTTAACTGATTTGGATTCAAATCACTATTTGTAAGATCTGATCGGATCGAATCTCGGATTCTGCTATCAGATTGAATTCGGATATACCCTGATTTGAATCCGACCCGTTCTGTTTGCATCCCTATGGGAAGGTCAGTATCCACATTTCTGTTTGGCATGGAAAACTTTTTTGAGAAGGATTACAAGGATTTCACTAGGGGTATGAAACTATTAAAAACAGGTGGTGCTATGACCTGCCTCTTATGGAGGCCTTTCCTTTAATATATTTGGCAGTGAGTAGCAGAGAAGCTTTTGTGTTGAGCTTTGAATTAATGAATGGTGCTGTTGTGTGAAACTCTGTAATTAGGGGGAATCTAAATGATTAGGAAGACGAATCAGTCTTGTTAGGAGAGTAATAGTACTAGACAAGGTTTTAAAAACCAACCTGGAAATCGAACCGCTTTGCCCACCTGTTTCTGAGTCAGCAGTTTAACTGTCTGGGTCGATGAACGGATTGACCCGTAACTGTCAAATGTTTGGCCATTTGGGAAATAGACCCCTATTAGATGCTTATTTTGTTATGAACTTATAATATTGGGTGCCATGGGATTAGAATTGATGTTTAAAATAGTTAGTCCTAAGGCTTGGCAGATTAAAGTATATTATTAGGTTTGAGGTAGGGGGAGAGAGATGAGAGATGACACGAGACAGAGAGACATTGATAGTTAGGACTAGGGGGAGAGAGAGAGGTGGCATGAGACAAATAGAGAGATATCAATTGACAATCACAATAGAAGTGTCAGCTTTTATAGCTTTTGTATATTTGAAAAAACTCTTGATTTTTCAAAATTTGAATTTTACAAATAGTTAATCTCAATCGCAAATTGCTGCTTGGGTTGAATGGTTTAGCGGTTTGATTGCCTGGGTCAGTGGTTCTTTGACAAATTCAATGTTTTTTTTTTTCAAAAAATGGCCCAATTCAAAACCGTACCCTGAGCCATGACTGGTTTTGGGTCAAATGGTCCAACTGTCTGGTTCGGTTTTCAAAATAGTGGTGCTAAATTATCCAAATGTGTGCCTTGCAATTTTGAAGATGAATCAGTCAACCACATCTTCATGCATTGTTCCTTTAGTAGGCTAATTTGGTTGTTGGTCCTGGACCCATTGTACTAGAAGAGGTTCTTCCCAGAATTAGTGGTGTAGCTGGTGGCATGGAAGCTAACTGGCTTCAATGATAAAGGTAGAGTGGTGTGGAGAATCTTCTCTCTAATGATCTTTTGGAATATTTAAGCTGAAAGAAATGAAGGTAAATTCAAGAATAGGCACAAATTGGTAGAGGTGCTGTTGAACAATGTAAAAGACACTTTGTGCTCTTGGTTGGGGACCTGGGATATACTGTATAGTTATTTTCATTGTTTTGAAAACCGGAACTGGACGTTTGGACCATTTGACCAAGAATCGTTCATGGCTTTAGGTTCATTTTGAATTGGATTGCTTTTTGAAAAAAAATCTTGAATTTGTCAAAGAACCATTGACCTGGGTGGTCAAACCACTAAACCGTTCGACTCGGGTAGCGGTTTGTGGTTGAGATCAATTATTTGTAAAATTCAAAATTTGAAAAATCACGACTTTTTCTCATATTAATCAATGTCTCTCTCTCTCTCTCTCCCCTTAGTCCTAGCCTAGAACCTAAAAATATACTTCAGTATGCCAGCCCATAGTCTTGTTAGGACTAATTATTTTAAACATAAATTCTAGCGGGGCCCATAGACCCAATATTACAAGTTTGATAGTCATGGGGTTGATCCATTTGACCTGGTTGGTTGACCCAGAAACCGGTGGCCAAAGTGGTTTCGTTTCTGGATTGGTTTTTAAACCCTTGGTTCTTTTTCTTTTTCTTTTTGACTCCGATATTTTGTTTTCTTCATAAACACTATACAAATGACATTCAATTCAGACTAAGGGAGAAGTTTGATACATTCTCATTTTAAAGTCTTTTTTGTGTACATAGGAACTTTTGTGATCTTTTACTTCATTTCAAAATAAAAAAGAAAAAACTTCATAGATCTGATCTGAATCCAACTTATTTACAACTCTATATCCAAGCATCATCCAACTGATGACCATTTTACATTTACCTTCAACCTTTAGATCTGTCTGGACTTTGGACTTGGAAACAACTTCTCTATATGTGTAGGTAGGGGTGAGCAAAAAAAACCGAAAAACCGAACCGACCGAAATCGAACCGAAAAATTGGTTAACCGAACCGACCGGTATACATATATTTCTATATATTTATGTATAATATATATTAAAAATGAATAAATATGCATTATAAATAAATATATTTATAATGTGTTATATATTATTTAAAATATAATATTTTATATTTATTTATAAATTTTTATTATATATTTATATATATTTTTATAATATATATTGTAAAAATTAAAAAACCAGAAAACCGACAAACCGAACCGGTCAACCGGTTAACCGACTGGCTTCAGTTTGGTTCCGGTTACTGGTTTTCCATAAACTGGTAGTACTGGTTCAGTTCCAAAAATGCCCCACCGTTTGGTTAACTGAACCGTGAGCACACCCCTATGTGCAGGGGTATGGCTGTGTACATCTATCTCTCCTCAGGCCACACAATAGTGGGAGCCTCATGCACTGGGCTGCCCTTTAGATCTGTCCAGCTTGGGTAACAACAAGCTTTAAATATTGCAACCAGGCCACAACTCTGGTCCAATAGAATTGCATGACCGGCAGGACCCGAAAAGATGGGAGGGATATTCTCTTATCATCTCTTACCATCTGTCCAATACCTGTGTTCCCTGAATTACCAAAATAGCTCCCATAGGATTTAAGTTGACATACAAGACTAAACCTTTGTGTTAATAAGACAATTCTTTAGCCAATTGAACTAATAGGTTTTCTGGAACATTTTTTTTCTTTTAGAATTTAAATTCCCATGTTGCTTTATGTTAAGATTCTTTAGGTTTTTCCCCTTTCAAAAATGATATGTCACTTCATTCAGGTGTGTTTCTAGTCTTGTCTGTTGCACCTTGGTCTCTTAGGAATCCCTTCTGCTAAGTTTCACTCTTTATTTTCAAAGAACTGCATTGGTATTGTGTTCATAGTTTTCTTTCATATCTGAGGTGAGAAGGCTGCTTTTCTGGGATGCAGTATTATAGGATTCTGTTTTAATGATTTTTGTTATATTTTAGTTCCCCTTATACCACCTCCTTTTGTATATTTTGATTTTCATTACACATGCTAATCACTGCCAATAAAAGAAAACTTAATACTATCTTCTTTTTATGGCTGTGAATTTTTGGGATGCAGCATCCTCCTCCTGGTGCACAAGAAGTTAGCAATGAAGGTGACATCCCAAGTAATGGTTCTGACAATAATGGGATTAATGAACTTGAGAAAATTCTGAAGCAGAAGACATTTACCAGGCAAGTTTTTCGTTTATCACTTGTTACTGATGGCTGTGTAACCAATTATGTAAATTGTATTCCTCATAGTTGCTACTCAAGTGCTCATTGTGTTGTATAATCTGCACAATTTCATTGGTGGATGCATTTTATTTTCTTGCTGAGAGTCCTTGATTGTATAACCTATGTTGCCTCGATATGGTAAGGACAGGGCTGGAAGATATGTTAGATATGGAATTTAGACTAAAATTTGATGCATCCAATATGATAAAATATTGTTTTTTGATAACAAAAGATTTTTTTTAGAAGGTCAAAGAGAATGAATACAGAAGTGCAATGGCTTCCAAATGCTTGAGGTGCAAGGCGCAACGTGAGGGATGTGCTCAAATGAAATGAGGTGCAACTATTTTTAATTTAAAATTTGATATACAGGAGAATTATTATATATCACATGAAATACACAAGGGAGCTGGGTGCACAAGTTTCTTGGTCTAGGAGGTCAACAAATGCTTTAGCTGGCAACCTAGTAAAGCAAGGGGTGAATCGGGAGGTTTTGTTTTGGGCAGTGTTTTACGGTGTTTTTGTTCAGGGGTCACCTTTCACTTTAGTAGGTGAGTTGTACTTCTGGTTTTTTAGCTAATGAAAGTTACTGTTTCCTATCAAAAAAATGAAATACACGGAAACCTATATAAAGGCATAATGTGGTTATCCTAACCATATTTCATAAAAAATGTTGATAGCTTCATGTCAAACACCATAATCCAAATATAATTCTATGAAGGCGTTGTGAAGGTCAAAATTAGGGGTGATCATTTCAGCCTGGCCTGCACAAGCCCGACTCAGAAATTCCGGGCTCGGGCCTGGGTTTTTTGTTCAGGCCTGGGTCTAGGCCGGGCCCACATCAGGCTCACAAATTTTAGGGTCGGGCTTGGGCTTAATACTTCAAGCCCGGCCCAACCCGCATATATTTAAACTTACACATTTTCTGTACAATGTATACATGTTATTTTACATTATATTATATATTTTATATATAAATATTATAACATGACATGTATAATTATGTACTATTTTATATTATATAATGTATAAAATAAGTTTATATGCATGTTATGTCATTTAATATATAGATATGTTATGCTTTATATATGAGTGACATTGGCCTGGAATCAGGCCCGGCCCGGGCCCGTATAGACTTGGGCTAGGGCTTATGTTTCAGGCCCAGAACCCCGGGCCAGGCTGGGCCTGGGCCTAAGCTATAGCCCTTATCATAAGTGCAATAGAAATCACTGTTTGTAAATCAGGATGAATTCCTTGTGAAGAGAAAGAAGAAGAAGATGAAGAGTTTCAGCAGTAGAGAAGAAAGAGAGGAAAGAAAGAGTGGGATGTTAACCACAATTGAATTAGTTCTGGCTGCCAACCCCTCATTATATTTTATACTTAACTTAAAAGAATGAAAGATTACAAGAATGCCCTTAGTAGGGCGGCTACTAAAGTAGCTGAATAGTCACAACTTAAAAAACATAAGCTAATGGGCCTAAAGCTTAACAACTTCCTAACTTAACAACATAAAATAAGAACAAAACAATTGGGCCCAATAACTAGAACTCGGCCCAACTCAACAAGTGCAAAGCCCGACCCGACCCAAGATCACCCCTAGTCAAAATCAAGGGTTCGAGTTTACTAATAATTAAAGAATAAACTATATTGGAGGGATAAGAGGCGGAGCCTTTGTCTTGGGCTTGTAAAAGAGAAAGGAGAGAATGTGTGTGTGTGTGTGTGTGAGTGTCTAGCATTCATAACTCTCAATGTATGTGTGTGTGTTTGCATGTTTAAAAGTGTTTTTTGTGATTTTGGTCAAAGCTTGTTCTGTTTAGGGTTTTGAGATCTTATCTGTAATAACTAGGGCTTAAGATATTCAAATGAATCAAAAGGTCTTTGTTTTTGTTTCAATTAAAAGTTAATAGATCATTATTGGTGCACAAGCAAGAATAAAATGTTCTTTGAAAGTTAATAGACTAGTACAAGTGAAGAACACACAAGAATATATGAAGAGTCTGAAAAAAGAAAATTTATAATAGGCATGCACCTGGGTTGTCTTGTACCTAAACCTAGGCGTAACCCTTTTGAAAGTTGAGTTGCCTGGGTGAGAGACCCATGCCTTAGAATGAACCTTGCCTTTGTACCTAGGCATGACTCGGTTATCCCTTTAAAACACTTTATTATCAAGAGGACTTTGAAGCTAGATAAAGAAGTGATGCCTTCCTATGCTTGCATATATTCATACAGTTGGATCATTACTCACCATTCCTTGAAGATTCTTCTAGCTTGTTTTCATCATATTGTATAATTGTTTCTACACTGTTTTGACTTCGGCATATGTTGGTCTGTTAGAGGAGAATTTTTAGGTGAGTCCATTTGATGGTTAAACAGTGTGTATTCACTAATTTGCTTGCAATGGAAATCTTCCTATTTAGTATTTACTGTCCTTGTTTGACTACATGAGTACTCATTGACATTATTCTTAATCAGTTATTTGCATGGCATTCCAAACAATCTATTTTGAAGTATGACATGCTTTAAAGTTCTATATGTAATTTACTTCAATTGCTTGCAGAGATGAGATAAATCGCCTGATGGAATTACTGAACTCAAGAACTGTTGATGTAACTGTAAGGGATGAGGAGAAGAGGCCTGTGTCAAAAATCACAGAGCCGGTTCCAGTGCATGACAATCTGGAACCTGTTCCAGGGCAAGCAAACAAAGCAGAGAGCCAGAGATTACTCAGAGGCATTTCAACTCCAATCATCAACTCAAGTGTAGGGAAACAGGTTAATTTTTCCCCTTCATTGCCTAGTTACGAGCAAGGTTCAAAATTTTGCTACAATATGCCTGTATTTTTTTTTTTGATCAATAACACTTTCATTAAATCATTAGTAGAAAATTTACARGAGKWAGACAAACACACTTATCTTCCAAGAGCCACAAAGAGCCTCATGAAAGGAAAAAAGAAGAAAAAGAGAAAAGAAGACACTAAAGTTACAGCTTAGCCCAAAACAATGAATCCCTTTCTGCCCCTTGTTTAGCTAAACCGTCAGCTAGGGAATTAGCCGATCTTTTAACCCTACATGTCTTAACTTCCATCTCCCGCACCAGCCACATGTTTTTCCTCCTCTCATTGTTGTACTTCCATAAACCATTTTGATCTTTAGTCAACCACCCTATCACCACCTCTGAATCCCCTTCAATTATGAGTTTCTTGATGTTCAACTCCTTAGCTTTCCGGACTCCTTCCATAACTGCAAAGATCTTAGCTCTAATGGAGTCACCCACTCCAATTGGGCTTGAGAACATGGCAGAGGTGACCTCATTTTCATCCCTAAAAACACCTCCAATCCCCGATTGTCTCGGATTTCCCCTACTACATCCATCAAAGTTTAATTTCAAGAATCCACTAGGTGGGGGAGTCCAAGCCACATTCATTATTGACTTGGTCTGTGTGCAATTTGCAATTTCACCCCACTTCCTCAACATGTCATCCACAGTGTAATCTGTGAATAGTTCCAAAGATTTCAACCACTGTACTGCCCTAATATGTATGATAGTCCTCAGATCTGTTGCCCCCCTCTAGGTTTTTGAGAATATTCTGGAGTTTCTTTCTTCCCATAGTATCAAACATTCTGCAGCCCTTAGTCTTCTCCACATTATCCTTTCCCTTTTTATCCGCCACCTGAAAAAGGTAGGGGAGAAAAGGCCCTGCAAGTCTGATGGGGGATTCCAGCTGCATCCAAATAAGGAGGAAGCGCAGTCCCAAATTCTTTCTTCCCACAGTATCCAACATACTGCAGCCCTTAGTCTTCTCCACATTATCCTTTCCCCTTTTATCCGCCACCTGAAAAAGGTAGGGGAGAAAAGGCCCTGCAAGTCTGATGGGGGATTCCAGCTGCATCCAAATAAGGAGGAAGC